AGTACGTAGTTTGATTTCATCACCCAACTAGGTCCTATGTCTTGAAAAGTAGAGCTAAACTGAACTTTCTATGGTTATTTTCGTGTTTAGCCAGACAAAATGCTTCGGAAGTAGTATTTTTGACCCCGGAGCATTTTCAGTGCAATCTGTGATGCCCCGACGCGAATGATAAAACTTAAAATGATTCCGTCACATAGATCCAGCTGAATTTGAGCGTGACTTGAGTTATGCTGACTTTGGCGGATTCTGGCTGATACTGCAAAAGCCATCGAGAAAAATACAAAAAAATACAAGAAGGAAAACAAGAATGGAAAGGAAAATACAACTACGAGCCCCTTCCCACTTCAGTTGCCCCACTTCAAGATTTGAATCAAAATATGCCTTTATAAGCTAAACATGACGAAACCATTTACTTCTAAAACAATTTATTTTCTCAAAAACATTTTAGTTACACTCTAGTCGTAAAAAATACATATTTTAAATCACTTAGACCTATAACTAATAGAACATCTGAACAAATAAACAATGTGCGAATAAATGCGCGAAGTTAACAAAGCAACAATTGAAAGATTACCATTGGGTAACATCACCTTTATTTTTTATTACGGCTGAAATTCTTTGGGGCATAGTGTTAACCAAGTTTTGGCAAAAATTTGGTGTAAAACAATTCCATATTTGTTGAAGCTTTTGTCTCAGTTCGGTGATTGTACGAGCAGGATGTTGTCGTAGAACCTTTTTCATCTTGTACCACAAAGTTTCAATAGGTGACAGATCTGGACTACTAGAAACCCATTTCAAAAGTGGTACATTATTTTCTTCCATCCATTTTATAGCCTTTTTTGAGGTATGGCACGCTGCACCATCTTGCTGAAACACAAAATCTTGGCCGGATGTCAAACATTCCATCACTGGTAAAAGCGATTCTTCTAAAATTGCCAAATATTTGTTTGTATCCACATTTCCATCAATAAAATGAACTTTTCCTACTCCTTTTGATGACATACTGCCCCAGACCATAATGGATGCTGGAAATTTCACTTTTCTCCTCAGACAGTCAACATGGAATGCTTAATTTTTTGTTTGTGAATAACTCTACTGCGACTGTCACCAACACAAACTTCGAATCGGGCCTCATCACTCCATTGTATTGCACACCATTGTTGAGGTGTCCATTGTCTATGTTCTTTAGCCCATCTAAGCCGATTTTTCTTTTGCAGTGGAGTTAATAGTGGCTTTTCTTTGGCCTATAAACAAGTTGTGTAATTTTAGGGTTTTTACTTCACTTTTTTTATAAGAAAACTTACCTTGCAAGTGCTAAATAGAAGTTTGTTGGCCTCTCTATGAGTCGTGGACCTCGAAATTCTCCTTCCAACAGCGTCACTCCACAGAGCACTTAATTGTAAATAATTGGCACGCCTGTTTTTCACGATTATTCTTAATGCTCTTCGGTCGGCATTTGTGATATTACATTTTTTCACATACCGTGGCTTAATATTAACTGAACCAGTTACGTTATATCTTCTAACAATAATTCTCACACTTTACCGGGATACGTCTAACAAAGTTGCAATTTCTGAGTTTGATTTCCCAGACTTAAAAAATTAGTAACCGAATTTTCTCACTAATAACCTTTCCTCTACCCATTTTAAAAACCTTAACTACCCAAAACTATTTTAAACGTATTCTGACAGCTGTGATTAATAAAGACAATTGTCATCGCTTTTATTTTTCACAGCCACTTATGCGTTATAGACTCATTTTGCAGTGAAATGAAAATAGGTTGATATGCTGTAATTGCAACATGTGTTATTTTTATGCTGCAAATTTGATGAGGGAGTGATAAAGTTGTTTTTTTCCACTATATATTATCAGAATATTCATTGTTAATATTTTAAACCTATAACACCCCGCTACATTTTTATTATTTGTGTTTGATAAGAAAAAAAATAAGATTTCAATAGTTGGGCCAACTGAATTGGGAAGGGGCTCGTAGAAGCCACCAACAAGAGCCAGCAGTCGTTAGTTGCTGCCTCGTAAACATGAGGTCTTCTGACTAAAGCCACACATGTGTCTGCTGGCTCATATTGGTAGCTTCTAGTTGTATTTTCCGTTCCATCCTTGTTTTTCTTCTGGACCTCTATTCTTGAGTTTGAGGCAGTAGAAATTGTGAGAGAAAGTGGCAAAAAGTGGGTGTGGTCAAGAAATGCAGTATTCTTGAAATCAATTCTACCGAAAAGTGATTGAAATGAATTCACTTTAGTGAGTCGCGATTTCTCTTGGTACCGACCAAGAGAAACTGGAAAAATTGGTAGAAAATAGCGCTATATAACCTAAAAATTGACGTGTTTGGCATTGTTATTGTCGTTCCTGCTAAACATATTGCAAAAAATGCATAATTTCAATCAATTGATGTATTGAAACGATATTATTAACGAGGATGTAGAGGAGGCAGTTGAGGAATGGGAGATTGGGAGAGATATTCTTGGGCACCGAGATCCTTTCATAATTTGGGATCGGAAATTTGTAGACATGTTTAGGTTGACCAAAGATTCGGTGTATGAATTGCTGGAGATATTGATTCCATTCATACAACCACCCCCACGAGCTTCTGCACTTTCGATCACAACAAAGGCTAGAGTAGATATTAAGTTTTAATCATTTTAGAACAGTAACCTTTAATCTATGATTTAATTTCCTCTGGTGCGTAAGTTTTAGGCTCAATAATAATAATAATAATAATAATAATAATAATAATAATAATAATAATAATAATAATAATATTTATTCGCCAAAATACAAAAAATGGGCAAACAAATATGAAAAAAACCACAGACGGCCTCGCCTGTATGTGGATTATATCTTAATAATCAACAATCAATCATATGTGTATAACAATTATTATTGGAAATTCTGAAAAGTATTAATATAATTTTCGTCTAAATTTTTTTCCAAAATTAAGTATTTTTATTTCCTTTGGTACTACATTATATAATTTAACTGCTAAGAATTTAAATGATTTTTTGAATAATGTTTTGTGTGGACTTTGGATATTAGATAAGCCTATTCGAAATCGTGTATGCTCGTGTTTATATGATTTTTTTTTCATTACAATACTTATGGTATAAGGTGGTGGCATCTAAGAAATAAAGTTGTCTTGTATCAAGTATCCCTGTTGCCTGATATAAGTTGTTCGTCGGATATAATCTTGGCTTATGGAAAATGGCTTTCAAAACATTTTTTTGTGCTATATCCAGGTCAGATATATATGTCTTTCAGGCGGCACCCCAGTCTGTAATACCGTATATTATATGGGTTTCAACTAAGGCATCGTACAGGATTCGCAGGTAACTTTCTGTTAGAATGTTAGCAAGCATTTTGAGTTTATGGGCAACATTTCTAATTTTTTTGATAACATATTTACTATGGTTATCCCACCTTAAATGTGAGTCCATAAATATTCCAAGATATTTCAACGTGTTAACTCTATCGTTTTTTGTTTTTTGGCCATGATAATTAACGGAAATATGTTCGAAGGTAGGTAAAAATTTTGAATAGGATGTAAATGCAATAAATTTTGTTTTTTTTTGAAGTTAACTGTTAAAATTTTAGTATCAAACCAGTCAATGATCCTTATAAAATCCTTTTCAGCTATTTTCTTCAGTGTGCTCCAGTCATCGGCTTTATATAATATGAGGGTGTCTTCTGCAAAACAAATAATCTTTCCAGTAGGTACTGTTAATTTTGAATAAGTCATTTAAGTAGAGACTCAATAATAATGGGCCTAGTACTGTTCCTTGAGGCACACCATACTTGATGTACATTTTTTTACTGTAAGTGTTAGAGATTTTGACAGTCTGTGCCCGACCTGAAATATAATTTTTTAAAGGGATGTGTGACGTTACCCTAAATTCCAATCTTTCCATAACTTTCAGAAGCTCGACATGGTTAACCGTATCAAAGGCATTTTTTAGGTTAGCAAAGATATCAATAGAAGGTATTTTTTTGTTGACGATAGACTTGATTTCATCCATTGCAGCCAAAATTGCGTCTGTAGTAGATCTTCCTTTTCTAAATCCATATTGGTCAGAACATATAATTTTGTTTTTGTCCAAAAATCCTTTCTTGTAGTAACTTTTCGAAAATTAATTTTAATTTTTTTAGATAAAATTGACGTTTTGCTTCTCTAACTAGATTGATACAAATATTTTTATATTCATTATATTTGCGGACGGTATCTGCACGGGGTGATGCTTTCATCATTTTGTATAGTTCCTCTTTTTTGTTGGCAGACTTTATCAAACCTTTAGTTATCCAGGAATTCCTGCTTCTGTCATAATGTTTAATTTTAACTCGGTTAGTACTACATTCAATTAAATGCTCTATGCGTTCAATGAGTGTGTGTGCAGCATCAATAACATTTTTTGTACAGTACACTGCTGTCCACGATTCTAATTTGATACCCGCAAGTAGTTTTTTATTATCGACAAAACACCTAAATTTCACTGTTTCATTACTGGAGGTGGATCTACTATTATTTTTTTCTGGTGATGATATAAGTATTACAGCGGGAAAATGATCGGTAATGTGGTTTTCAACAATTAATGGTATATACCGAAAAAAATTTTTTTATGAAACAATGTATCTTGATATCCTTTCTTCTTTCTATCGAGTCCTTTCAAGAATAACATTATTTTCGAATTGATAAAAAACCGAGGGAGTAGAAAAAGAGAGGGAGTGTGATTTTCTATGAAAGTCAAGAAAAGGGGCACAGGTTCCACCCGTATTCAGATCTGATGGGCATGTGTTTTCATTTCGGTGTTTTCGATGCTCATCCATTTGGACCTGATGAAGCCAATAAGCAGGAATATACGTCGATCAGATTTACAATCCTTCTATTTCTGCTCCTGCGAAAACTTCAGATTGACAACCTACTTACATTTCATAATAATTTGACCAACAAACGCCATTAGATTTCAAGCGCTAAAAATAAAACAACGTACTATATTATTCAAACATGTAATTTGTAATACCATTTGAAACAGATATGTATATGAAGAATGAAAAATATTTACACAGTAGAAATAACAGTTCACTTAAACTTCTAAAGAAATCAGTTAAATTATCTAATTATAAATAACAAATATGTATGTATACATAGTAACCACAATGTTAATTTAGCTATAATAGTTTGGCATCAAACAAATCTACCCCAAAACTATGAAATGCTGTATCAGTAAGTAACACAGCAGACAACAGTAAGTACGTAGCATTAAAATTATATAACACTTTACTTAAAAAAACAGAATTGCATGGTTTTATATACAATCGTTCTTTGTCTTACCTTTGGTTACCTGTCTTTTATAAAAAAAATTACATAAAACGTACATTTTTTACGGAGGAAAACAATCATTTCCATCAAGGGAATCTTGAAACAATGCGTTAACACTTGCATATGCAATTTATTTATCCATAGGTATTAAAAGCTTCTATTTATTACACAATACCTTAGGTACATGCCTCAGTTGCTGCATAACCTCCCCTTTTTAGTGAATCGCTCTGAATATGAATGGTGCATTATTCAATCATCCAATTTTAATAAATATAAACCTCCACCGCATAACTTTGATCGTAAACATATATGTATATCTAGATTAAATGAGTCGTTGTCATCTGTCACATGTTGGTAGGTTCACCACAAAGAAGACGTTCATCTCGATAATTGTGGCGAATATCAAAAATGCCACGTAGATCATCAGGCAGGTTAGGCCTATCTTCCAATCCAACCTGAAACAAAGTAAGATCTATAATACAAACACAAAGCTCCCAATTTATCGCATTTCAGATGCATAAACAATAGATTTGCAACATTTTAGTCGAAGACAACTAACCGGTGTGTTACAACAACGGCATAATCTTAGCATGTTACGGACCTTTCAGACTTCTGTAGTAAGATACTAACACACTGTATAGTAATATGAAAATGAAAAATAAGGACAAGGGAAATGTCACCTGGAACACAGATAAATAGAATATATTGTCAAAAAAGTGTCAATTGTACTGAAGAAGGTCGCCATTGCTACCGAAACGTATACAGTATACAATGACGAATAATTTTTAAACACATGTGATTTGATTGGCCACATAAACATGGTGGATTATCGACAAAGCTCCCCTTCCACTTATTTTTTGGATGGGTAATGCTCGCAAGCTAAAACTGCAGATAATAAGCAGTCACAAATTTGAAGATGGCAGCTTACGTCACGCGACTGACTTTCTCACTGGCTGCAAGATATCGGTCGTAATTGACGGTTTCTCCTCTTCATCCCACAATGTCAACGCGGATACGCGGGTGTTCCCCAGGGATCGGTATTTTCTCCGACATTGTCCCTCTTACATATCAACGACCTTCTTTCCGGTACTGTCAATCCGATTCACAGCTTTGCTGATGACAGCACTCTACATGCAGGAATTCGGAGTGACAAGCCGATATCTGCCGGCGAGTTAGAGAAGAGAAAACCAGGAGATTATAACTGCTTGGGGACGCAACGAGCTGACACAGTTTAATGCTTCCAAAGCACTGTATTATGCCTTGACTAACAAGAACCGCCCTAGCGCGCATCCTGTTTCGGTGGATGACCATGTTCACCAAAGAATCGTTTATTTCGACTGGTCGAAGTCCAGGTCACCGAGTACTTGGTCTTGCACGAACGCATTTCATCAATAACGGCAGCTGCTGGAAATTTCTCATGATGCACAAGGCCCAGATAAGACCTAGCTTTGAGTACTGATCACATGTTTGGGGTGCTGCTGCCCCGACTACATTATCCATGTTGAGCTTTCGTTAAAGAACAATCTCGCACCCCTTTCGCACCGACGGACCGTCGGTGATCTAAGTCTTCTCTACCACTACGCAAACGGCTTTGCCCCTCAGAACTCTTCTCCGTGATGCCGCAGCACGGTGTGCCTGCCAGACAAACCAGCATGAGTTCGATCTTCCATCCTTGACGTATCGAACTTCGTACATACAGATCTGGCCGATACGACTACTCCGTTGTCCCTAGGGTGTGGAATAATCTACCTGAGGAGGCTTGTTCTACTAACCTAAGACAGTTCAAAAATTGGAATAACGAAGTTTCTTTAAGCACCTCATAGCAGCCGCGGTACCCTGGTATTTAGGCTTCTGCCTGCGCAGCTGCCTCGGTATGCAACAAGACATTTTAAGTTATGCATATTCACAATACATGCCCACATGACAATCTGGCAAATAGGCATCGGTTGAAACATTGCACTCGCCCAAAGTATCCAGTGACAGTTTGTAAAAGATTGCGCGAGGCAATTGCTAAATTGCAGCAATCTGGAACTGCACCACAATGGACAACTCTACGGTCCGTTATATATGGGGCATTTTCAGCGGAGTAAAAAACCCCTCTTGGAACAATGCAATGGGCACGGAAGAAAATATCTTGAATAAAGATAAGAGAAAATCATTGCGTGGAAAACATTATTATACCGATCAATACCCGTTTGTGCGGTTACACAAAGGACCGTGCGTAGGTTGAATTATTTGGGAGTTGCAGTCTGTTGTGAACAATGAACGTGAAATACATTGGATGGAACATTTTTTTTAAGATTGTTTACACCCAAATCTCATGCACTAAAATATCTTCCTTAAATAGTATTCGTCTTTTGAGAACTTTCCGGTAACATCATTTTTTTCGTAACGCGGGAGAAGGAAAAGCTCAAAGGTAATTCAAAAAGAGTAGTGTAACTTATTTACATATAGAACAGCTGTCATGGTTATATGCGACTTCCCAAAAATATCGCAAATAAAATTGTGTTTATGCGTGAAGTAGAATTACGCCCTCATGGCTGGCAATTTTTACCAACTCATAGATATGTTCCGGCACTTTCTGAATAATGAAAAATAATACATTGTATTTGATATTTTCAAAAAAAAACACAGAATTAGCAATTCGGGCTAAGGACTAGCGGACAGAGAGATAGACCGACAGAAATTAGTGACAGTTTTTCATGATGTGGATGTCATAATAGCATCCAAAATACATGTCATCCCATTTTCGGAATTTATCCCGATCAATACTTCCCCTAGTAGCGTGGGAAGTAAAAATGATGTTGACAAAGAAAGTCGTACGAAACGAATACCATCTAGATAAGCTATTTTAGTTATATGTTAATATATACTAAGTGACATAGAAAATTAAATAAAACTTGTTAACATATTTGCTATCATGGAAGTTACGCTGACGAAATGTTGAAGGCATTTCGAGCCGTACTTTTTTGTAAAGGCTCTTTTTGTCATATCGGCATCCGAACAATATGAACATGTTTACTTAATATTTAGTGATTTTTCTGTGCTGGTTCCATTTGTTTCATTGTTGTTTCAATGCACTGTGTGTGTTATGGTATGGGGTGCCATTGCTTATGGCAGCAGGTCACGATTAGTGTTGATTTGAGGTAGCATGACTGCCCAACACTATATCCACAAAGTTTTACAACCACATCTGTTTCCTTTTTTTGGAAATATTGCAAGAACCACTATTTCAGCAAGACAATGCCTCACCTCATATGGAACGTGTTAGTTTAAACTTTTTAGAAGCGTCCGGAGTAAATCTGCTTCAGTGCTCTCCTCGATCACCAGACATTTCCCCCATCGAACATGTATGGGACATAATTAAAAAAAGGTTGCAAAATTCACCGCACCCTCCACAAACATTGGAGGCTTTACAAAACCAAATTCAGATGGCCTGGGATACAATACACCTAGTCCAATCAATGTCGCGACGACTTAACGAATGTGTGTAGCGAACAGAGGAGCTTTAACACATTATTAACATCAAGGTAGGATATCTCAGCTATTTTGCGAAATTTCGAGTTAAAATTTCAATCACTTTCTGTTTATCAGTAGACTTAAAACTTGTGAAAGTATGCTCAAAATTAAAGCACTCCTAGTCGGTGTTGCATTTTCTATGTCATTTAGTATAGCATAAGGAGTATATTTCATTTTATCACAGAGAAACACGACACAAGAGATGAAAAACAAATAGACACACATACAAAAAATAGTCTCATTGATTAATCATACCAAAACATCCTAGGTGTGTATATCAGAAATCGAACACAAAAACGTTGATTCTACTCCTAAAAAAATACATAAATGTGCATACTGAAAGGTACTGAAAAACTAACAACGCTTTACTTCATTTAACAGTTTTCAAGTATGAGAATATTCTCCTTTGATATGTGTTCACTCATACCAAAGTCTAAGAAATTGCTAACCTCGATAAACCATGCCGACTTTCTATATGAAGGGATGGTAACATAATATTTGTAAGAAGCTTATGGTAGACAAAACATAGTGTAGCTCCTACATTTCAACTTACGTACAGTAAAGCTCAAGTTGGACAAAACTTCACCACAGTCCATCTGATTGCTTAGCAACTTGTGCACGTGATCTAAAATATCCTTATTTGGATCGTTTAATGGAGGATGTGCGCTATGTACTTTTAACTACAGAAATTTTAAAATTCTCTTTTAGATTTTCTCGACTCTGAATATGTTTACGTGTATTAAAAGTGACACATCTGATGTAATGGTAATGCCTGGGTCTTTTGCTTCCTGTACTCTGTCAAGTTTGTAATTGTCCACTATACAGGGTGGCGCATCGAAAACGAAACAGACGCATTTACTGGCTGCTCAGTTTGTTTTTTGGAAAAACGCTCAGACCCGTCGATTTTGTCTTCGAGGGGGACACAAGTTTGGGAAAAAATCACGTTAGTACGTGCAGCCCCCTAAGCGGGGGTGACACCACCCCAAAATCTTAAATGGAAAGGGGGGTCGAATGATACCTTATTTTCAATCCCCTTTATACTGATATAAAATCAATGTACTTCAGTTCAGTAGTTTTGAAGATTTATTGATTTAGAGCTTAAATAAAACTAATATATCATCATTAGTGAGATCAATACATTTGGCAGCAAAGTAATTTAAAAATGAAGAATTAACTGACCCGTTAGGCAAGCACATGTTGAAAATGGCCACCATGCAATAATAAAGATTTTGGTCAAAACGTTGCCGCACATTTTGAAATATTGGAGGAGTAATTTGGAGTCACTCATTCACAATTCTTTGTCGCAGGTCTTCGAATGATGTTGGCTGAGTAGCATAGATTTTGCTTTTTAAATGACCCCACATAAAGAAATCCAAAGGTGATAAATCTGGCGATCTTGGGGGCAATCCATCGATCTGGAAACGTCTGATCTAAATATTGTCGAACACGCAATGCGTAATGTGTTGGGGCACCATCCTGTTGGAACATCAATCTATTCGCAATGTACCGCCGATCATTCTGATTTTCAATTATGGCTGTTAATGCAGGATCTATGACATCTTCCAGTAATTCCAAATACATTTCACCGGTCAAGTTTCCAGGTAAGAAAAAAGGACCAACTAAATAATCGCCAAAAATACCAGCCCAAACATTTAATTTTTGTGGCTGCTGTGCATGAACCTCATGATAAATTCTGGGATTAGAATCGGACCAATATCTGCAGTTATGTCGATTTACTTCGCCATTTAAGAAAAAGGAACATTCGTCGGAAAATCAAGTGTTGAATAAAAAATGTTCATCGTTTATAATTCGTTCACTCATATCTTCACAAAATTATAATCGCCGATCAAAATCGTCTTCATTAAGTTCTTGTACCAGGTGAATTTTATACGGATGAAAACTATGGGCCTTTAGAATCCGTTGGACAGTACGTCGA